TTAGAGATATCTGCAATGCACTTTAACGGAATTTTCAATCTCCGGTCAGTTTGAGATATAGAAACGAGACGGATTTTAAGATGTTTGTCTCAGCATACGTGGTGCTGCAGAAGTGGGACCAAAAATGTTATCCCTACGCCCATGTTTGGGAATATGTGAGATAAATGAGATTCAAATTCTGATAATTTTAGACTCCATAGTTTATCAATTACCAGACAGGAAAATACACGAATGAATCGAAAGTACTCGGAAAGTTACACATGGAGGCATGAATCCAAAAAGATAGGTAGAAAGAGAACAGAGATAGGAATATAGAAATTTACGAAATAATAAAGGTAAAAAAGCGAAAAAGTGATAGACTGAAGGATGCGAAAAAGAGTATAATAAATAAGGTAAGAGGTAAGAAAAGATGTTGTTAAGGAGATAAAAGTGAAAGGGAAGAAAGTAGAAGTAGTACAGCAGGAAAACTAAAGTAGAGAGAATAAATGGATAATTATGGAGGCAATAAAGGATACATGACCAAGTCGATGGGTCGAAAAAGAGAAAAAATAGAGGCTAAAGGGAAATTGGTAGATGAGCATGATGGATGACTAAATTTTTACTTGCCCTGTTCAAAGAGTTTGTTTACCTCCACATTTCGTTTAAAAAAGTGAATGGAAGTGTGCACGCATGTATACAGAGCAATACTCTGGAAGTATTTATTTAATTATTTACTTATATATATATGTAAATCTATATTTGTATATTTGATTATCCTATCACATTTAAGTAATTATTAAAGTTTATTAATTTCCTATAGCATTGTGTCTCTCATATAGCGCATGCTCTTGGCTCACCTTAATGTGAGAGCAGTAATTCTTGATGGCAATCACTCGCATAATGTTGGCCGCATCCTCGGCGTCCGGATCACTCGAGTACTTGTGAGCGAGCACCAGGCAGGCGTCAGCCGTCTCTAAGGAGACACGAGCCAAGTCTTTGGTATTCATAATGGAGCCCTAACATGTGAAAAGGGGTTATGGGTGAAAAGAGGGGAAGCGAAGATATGTTGGCTGTAGCAATAACAAATTGGTCTTCTGTCCCCTTTGCGGTTTGGCCCGAGGTATTGTACAGCACACTGACACCAAGCTTAACAAAACGGCCTCACCAAACTCAGCTATTCTGCAAGGTCAAGACCATTGAATGACAGCGCTTTGTAGACTAGGAGCAATGGCCTTCAGTGAAAAATCCAGGCTGTCTCTTGGACTACTTCACTAGGGAAAGAATGAAGAGTATACCACATGTAAAACTATAAACTATATCGAGTTTTGCTAGGGGTGCAGTTAACACCTTGGAGGAGAATAACTTTTAGGAGCCAGGTTATGCTAAATTAAAAGGCCTGCTCATGTGATTGTGGCAAAATTCGACAGCCAGTCCTTGAACATTTCAACCGAGATATATATTATCTGCATGTAAAATTAGAAAAATTACATTCTTGTCTTTTCCGTTTATTTTTTGATTTATTTCTTGTCTTTTGTTAATGATACATTTCTCTGTTTATTTTCTGCATTTCCCTGATTTTCATCACATATCGTTTAAGGTATTATGATATTTTTTGCATTCTACAAAATAGCCGTGACGCCTTTACTAGTTGAGAGAAGACACTTTTGAACTAGCATCTTGGTGTGTGTGCTCCAGATTCTAATAATGCTACGTAATCTTTGGTACCTATTAAGTTGAGGAAGGCCAACAATTGGGCCCTATTACTTATTTCGAATCTCTTCACCCAACACTTCTACTCGAAATGGAAGTAATCCCAACAATGTGGTAAAATAACCTTATCTTCCCTACATGACATGTGACAATTCATTGTTAATGCGTTCTTGGTGGCAAGCCTTGAAAGACATTGGGTGTTAGACGATAAAACGTTGCAGACGGTTCTTTGTTCATATAACCTCTTGTGTATGTGTCGGTAACGCAGGTAGCAAACTGACCTGGAAATAGGGTTCTAATCTTTACATGATTGTAAAACCATACTTACTCGCTACTAGTAACTGCATGAGCATCATGGCCGATTAAATTTGTCCAACTCCTTATTTTGCTCTAAGAATTGTTTTCCCGAATCCAATTTCTTAGTAATGTGACAAGACTATCAATTAATCTCAATCAATGATTGAATCTACTTAATGTCTAAATGACCCGAACTACTAAGGGATTTGTCAAGATCACGAGTTGGGCATATCGACGATTCTCCAGTACATACCGAGCTTTGGAGAGGTCAGTGACTTTGCGTACGACGTACCTCAGCCCATCTTGACTGGCATGCCTGAGTGGTCTAATGCCAAAAAATTTGTCTTTGAACCCAGAGGTCCAAGGCCCTAGTCTCGCAGGCCGTGCTTTTAAAGCAATAATGTGTACAACTATACCATCTACACAGGCCCTATAGGAAAAAGCCTATGTGAAACTAACCATTACACAACTGACCAACGAGATTTACCCAATGCTCCGTTGAAAATCAGCATTCAGCAGCTTGCTGCTCTCATTGCTTCGGTAGCCTCTATAGAGATCAGGTTCTGTCATCAGATTTGCTGGTACTGCCCATTGCAATGACCACTGTCAGCATCATTAATAGCCCGGATATCCGAAAAATGGATTGAGTGATTGCACATAGCGTAAGGCGATTGTATGTTTATCATTAAATTCTACAAGGATAGTTTTTGTTTTGAAATAATCAGAAAGCTGATGATTG